TGTGAATGGATTTTAAAATAGCTGAAGGCACTGATATAAGGACAATAGCGTTTGACTTCTACTGCTAAAATTTACATGTTTCGATATAAACTCTTGTTTGTTTAAAAAAAATTGTAATTATATGTGCTCATCTAACTCAATGTTACAGTAAAACACTGAATAATTCAAAATACCGGAAGATTTTTTATTTATTTTTTTGCTTATGGTAAATACAGAATTTATTCAATATCCAGCACAGTCATTAAAGTTTTCTATGTTTTATGCTCTTACCATATGAATATATGTTTTTATCCTGTTCATTTGAATTACAATTTATTCTTATTATTTCCAGAATATACAGAAAAAGAAAACTCGTCAATTTTGCCACTTACTTCTTTAAGGATTTTTTGTTGTTGTTGTTGTTGTTTGTTTGTTGGCGCGTTTGCACCCGTTGGCCACCGTAGAAAATAATATCAAAAATGGCTGTACAGGAAGAACAACCAGCTAAATGTTGTTTTAGTTTAGTTTAGTTTATCTTTATTCCTCAAAATTACAGTTTGCTTTGGTACAAAAAAACTTATAATTATACACTTAGCGCCACACCGCCCCTTTTACATGAACAGATTCAGACTAAATGTCTGAGTTGGCGATAAATAATATGAAATTATTTAATCATCATCTAATTGTTATTATTAATTAAACTATATTCTCAAGAACACGTTGGATCTTACTTCCCAGATAATTTTTTCTGGTTTAAATAATGAGTAAAAGTGAAAGTAAACAATAAAAATTTGTAATTAAATATAACAAGAACATTGAATAGTTGAAGAAGTTCAACATTTATATGATCAGGTTTTCAAATTTATGTTGTACTGTTGAAAAAGCAGCTATTTTTATGTCTGTATAGAAAAAAAATAAATAAATGTGTGCGACACACAAAACATAACTTGTGTTTCATGTTAGTTTTTCACACAGCATTGATCTAGCAGCTGGTGACCGTGTCACTCTTAACTCATGCTGTGTGGACAAGCTTTTCTCAGACCAAAAAAAAAAAATCCTTCAAAAAATTGAAATAAAATATTTGAGAAGGTCCTCGGATGTGGTTATATGGCTTTTGCTCACTTTAAAATAAGCTCAGCTTACATTTGGTTCCGAACACCATTAATGAACGTCTCCAGCTGCGTTTCTTCTTTGTAGTTTGTGTTTTTTCTCTTTGTGTCACCGTCCTCCCGGGTAAAAGATAAGTGTCTTCCTGTTTAAGACTTCTTTTTTTCATATCCACCAGTGCGTTCTCAGCTGGAGTGCTTGAGATATTTTTGTTAAGAATTCACACTTTATACAGTATTCAAAACTAAATTTAACCCAACGTGTAACAATAGATCTCAATACCGCTCAGAAAAGTCAATATTATGTGATGTTCAATAATACATGCTGCTAACAAAGTCCATGCTCAGTATCCAGGTATACAATCCCACAATTTTCAGTCAGGTCATCTGGACAGTTTTTTGTGCTGAAATGTTTCACCTTCCATCCAGAAGACTTCATCAGTCAAGGACACACACACAACAAAACTGATTCTTCCCCCAACAACTTACTCCAAAGTGGAACAAACCAGTTATGTTGGTGCTAAGATGGTCTCTCTACATGCTGCTATTTTGCTTTTCCAGTTGTTTATCTCGGCAGTACGGTGGCGCAACTGGTAGAGCTGCTGCCTCTCAGCGAGCA